GGCCGGAAGTATGAATTGCTCAACAAAGAAGGCGCCAATTTTTTATGTGATAACAAGCCAAAATTTCAAATTAAGAATTGTTTCGATATTTTAATATTTTCCGGCTTTGAAAACCTGCCAAAATCAATAAACCACAATATCGACTTGTAGGCAGGAACATAAAAGTTGGGTATATGTAGGTTATGCGAGGGGGGGATTTTACGCGGGGCGGAGGGGGGAGGAAGAGGCCTTTTTCGATACTTTCGTTATTTTCCGGGAATTTTGGCAAAACGTTTCGATAGAGCATCAAGAAGTCTACTAAATTGTTTTGGCTCAAAGTATCGACTAGCAAAATAGACGCAATTGTTCGGTAACAAAATTATGATTTAGGGTGTGGATGAGTCCGAAAAAAAGAAGATAACCCTCTGGTATTAGGTTTTCCTTGCAACGCGCCGTAATTCTGGTTCTACCCACGATTTCGATTTACTCACATTATTCCCACAAGGTTACGCGAATTGGCGGGAGAAGCAGATCGGTGGCTGGGGAAATAATCCTCACTATCTAATTCCAGACGCCGTCGAAAAAGGAGCGCACGGTCACCAAGGCGTCGGGGAACATTAAGAATCGTGGTGCGGTTCAGAAGGCAAAACTGGTAACGTACACTCAGTAAAATAACTATAAAGGCAGTAGTTTTCGTGGATTATCTCGGCGGTTTCTACACATATCGAGATGCAACTTTCAGAATAGGCTTCTTCAGAGCAACTTAATATTCGGTACAAAAACGATTCAAATCTGTTTGTGGAAAGTACGAGTTTTGGCAAATTACGTTTTCCAAACTGTAAAATAACTATAAAGGCACTCTAAAGAAATTCATTGAAAAATTTTTAAAACTAATTAATCGGAAAGTAATTATATCAGGTTGTTTCTTAGAACGTTTTCTGCCCAAAATAATTTGCAAGCATTCATGGTAGCCCTGCTTTGTGATTCGGCCCGTCATGTCAGGCCAGTCGATGTCCCCCAACTTGTACCCTTCACAAAAAAATTGTCATTTGTCGCAGCGCTATTCTGGGTGTATGGGCAGCTTGATTTAGAGCTCTAGTATTGTGGGCCAACCGGAAATCGCTCCGAAAGCAGCCGAGTTTCTTGTTTGGACCAATAATTACTGAGATTCGTGACGGCAGAATTCTAAACCGAGGCTTAGTCTCGAAACGACGCACATCAGAGAGCTGAATTTTTCATTTTATCAGGTTGGAAGGTAAGTCCTGTCGCCGAGATTTTGGCAGGCTGGCTAAAATCGTAGATAACTCCATTCTGGACATGCAATGTGTCATTTTGTAGCTCTCGGTCTGAACCGTTTTGCGAGGAGGGTCCTACACTTTCAAAATCAAGGAGGGCCGAGATACAGGCCCGAAAAGTTTTTCTCAAAATCACGCAAAAGAGTTTTTGCAAGTTATCTCTGCATAGAGCAATTTGCATGCGATACCTTTAACACCAATCGCTAGCTCTCGAGGAGTAGATATTGATAGATGTTGAGATCATCAAAATCGGACATCGGATGGCCGAGATATGGCCCCTTGAAATTTTGCCCATTTCTTAGAACTTTTCCCGAAATCCCAAACATTTTGTCAAAATCCGCGGCGCTTCCAAAAATAAATCGGCAATTTTCGGCCTCTGCCTGTCAAATGTATGGGAATGTATGGGATTTCGAGAAAAGTTCTAAGGAATGGGCTAAATTTCAGAGGATGATTTAGATTTTGTCACGGGATCACGAGGAGGCTCCGATTTACCCCTCCCCCCCCCCCGCCGCTCAAACCCTCGTCCCCGCGCGAAAAGTACAGTTCCGCCGACCAAGCAAAGTTGTTAGGCAGCTGCCAGATTTGGACATCGTCATTGGCCGGGCAGGCTACGGGAGCCCCCGGGCACAACGCGCGAACTCCGGGATTCCTATGGCGCGCCCCAATGACAGTACCCCCGCCCCCCGGGCCCATCCCCTTTCCCTGGCGTAATGGCCCGTTTAGTTGGTAAAACATAAAAAGAAGTCGTTTTACAAAAAAAAACAATAGAAAAGTGAATTGGAATACATTTACAGGATAGTTTTTGTCCTGTATACTCTCCAGTAGATGACGCAGGCGCACATGCGCTGGGAGGTAGAAGCGTACTAGGCGTTTTGCTTAAATTACTTGGCTTTTAATTGATGCATAGGCTTAGCTTAGCTTTAATCTGTGCAACTGAAGCACAAGCGTAGCGGATCTTAGCTTTAAGATACCGGTCGTCTCAAAAACAAAGTTTGTTGGCGGGTTTCGCGTACGACCGCTCATAGCATGGCTCCAGCAAGGCTTAGACTTGGTCATACAAAGACTAGGAAGAATGGCTAGCTTACCTTGTATAAGTAGCCTTCTTGCAGTTAAAAACTAGTCTCCTCGGGTCGGAAAAGGCGTCCATATCGTGATAATTCAGACAAAACCGGTGAAGCCATTATTACAACGTTAATTTACAAAACTATACTAGCGATTTGGAAAGCCGGTTCGCTTTGCATGATGCGCTGAAAGTTTCTTTGCTACTAGCAATGCTGCTGCTCTACTGTGCTCATGAAGCGGAATGGAAAAGCCGGAAACAGATGAGCGGAATTAGGTAGGACGTCAGAACCTCAGGGATCTCCGTCAGCGTAATACTTCATCCTTAACCTGGAAGCTTTAAACGTAAGCCCATACAAGCGAAGTCTAACATGTAGAGGTTGTGGGGTCACAGACTCCAAAACAGCTCAAAACTGGTGGAAAAATCAAATAAGAGACGGGGAACACGATGCGATAAAAATTAGCTGCCAATGGGCACTTTTGTTTAATAAACTCTTAATTTTAAGATTTTGTATGGAAACCGACCTAGAATCGCGACCTGGGTCGCCAAAACCGTACGGCACAGGGGAGCCCTCTTGAAGTCTTCCCAAGAGCCCCCTCCCGTCGGTTCGGTGGTGTAGAGGTAGGGTGCACGAGTGACAGGCTAGGGGTCGAAGGTTCGGATCCCTTCGTTATTTTTAATTTTTGCTTTTTGTTGCTTTCGCTTTTATTTTGCAGGAAGAGTGTCCAGAAGGGTTTTCGAAAGTTTTTCGGTCCTAATAATCCCAAGGAGTTTGCCTGGGCAGAAAAATAAAATTTCGAAAATGTTGGAATTTTTCGGAAAAAAGGCCCAGCTACCCATTCCAGTTCGATGAAAACCAACCGGATAGTTAATAAATATTATTTTTGGACCGATATTGTAAAAAATAGAATTATTCCGGAAATCTGAAATATCTCGGGGCTCCGATTTGAAGCGCCTAGGGGTCGGAGCCACCCATTTTAAGCAGCTTCCGACCCTCCCAGGATCCGGGGCTATGGGATAGGTCGTCAAAAATTTCGTGAAAAAAATATTTTCTAGAGAAAATTTTCTTCGGGTCCGGAAAGCGTTCTTGTGTCGTGGCGGATATGAAAATTCCATCAAAACATTTTTTTCCCAGCTGGAAGGCGCGATAGAGCAGTTAAAAATGCATTTCAGCAGCACTTTTTTGCGTAAAATTAAAAGTTTATGAAACAAAAGTGCCCATTGGCAGCTAATTTTTATCGCATCGTGTTCCCCGTATTTTATTTGATTTTTCCACTAATTATGGGCCGATTTGGACTCTGTGACCCCGCAACCTCTACATGTAAGCCTTGATTTACCTTCGTTCAGAACCAAGCAAAAGTTGCGTTAAGCCTAGTAATAATGACACAAGCTTCTAGCGAAGCTAAGCTGAGTTATGCTTGGATATAGGGCTGAGAAGAAGCCAAGTTCGTGCTGAAAGCTAAGCCGTGGCTGTGGTGTCGCTATTCCCCGTTAGTTCTGCCCCCAAAAATGCAGATATTCTTCTAAAAAGTACTCTGTGGCACGGTAAATGTCTATTTACGAAATATTATAGTAAAACTTACTTTAATTTTGAATAACTAGTAATAAATAATGTTTAAATAGAAATTTACCGCCCAACCTGTGTACCAGGTGTACCGGGTGCTATATACTACCGGAAGTGGGGGAAGACTTTATAATTGCGGAGAGGACGCGCTTTTCATTTTTTTTGCACAGGAATCCAGGAGTTTATGCAAACTGATGAGGCATGGGGTTAGACGGGGCCAGGGTTGAAAAGTCGCGAAGCGGCTTTTCAACCCTGGTATTAAATTAAAAATGAAAAGTATTTTCGCTATAACTTTAAAACCTGTCGGCCGATATGGCTCAAACTTTCCATATACATGGCATGGGGGCGCCATCGGTAGGGCTTATTTGCCGGTATGCAGCGATATTAATTGCGAAAAAACAGCTTTTAAGACGACTTTTTGCAATTTACATCGCTCCATACCGGAAAAAAACCCCCATCCACGGCGCCCCCAGGCCCTACCCAAGGCGCCCCAGGCCCCGACCCATATATAGCTTGGAGCACTTTTTTGGACACCCAGTAACCACAACTAAAGCAATTTTCAAATTTTTACGGAAAGCATCTAGAAACCACCAGCTCCGGAACAAGGTCCGATGCAAAAATGAGTTTATATTTTCCTTGACCTCGATGTAAGATTATTAACGGGCCCAGCTGTCATTAACCAGCCCACATAATTAACCATCTTATTAATTAGCTTCCTCGGCTACAAATTTAAAAAATTTCAAGTCATAAAAAAATCGAGATTTCGAATTGATAACAAAAGAATTTTATCCAATTTAATAACAAAAATGTAATCTTCACTAAAACGAAGAGTTTTTCCCAACTTTATTTTTAATATTTTGCCCAGGAATCGTTGAATGATATTATTTGTGATGGCGGATCCAAATGCTTTGATATGTTTTGCAAAACCAGCCAAACTTGTGAACGTCCCAGGGACGGATCAATTTTTATTCAGATTTCGCAAATTCTTTAACGGGTCCTGAAATTTAACAATTTAACAAAACGTAGTGTTGGCTGCGTACGGTTCCATATAGCTTCATATTCTCGTACGTATTTAGTTGTCAAATCGGAGGGAAACAGCGGGATGGCGCATGCTGCTGAGCACGCTATATGCCTCGGCCTGCATCGGCGAAAGAATATAGGAACGCGCATGACGCCTCGAGGGACGACCGACATCCGAACTGCCGAGTATGTCCCTAGCTTTTAGCAAAATTTGGATTAGAGAGTATGCGTCCGCGCTCGATGCACAAACATATGAGACTGTGATCCGGATTAGTACCAAAAAGGTAGCTGCCCAAACGAAACCTAAACCAAATTCTTAAGATCGCGTGTGCCCCGGCGGTGTTCGACCCATTCTGAAGCTGGTTCTCTTCCTGGCTCTATTACGAACCAGTGCAACCAAACGAAAAAGATCGGGAAGCCCAAGTCGAAGCCCTCACCGCGGATCTTTGCACCGAAATTTACGGGCTCGAACGAATGAAAAATGGGGAGCTGCGCGAACGCGGTGTGATGCTGCTGGAGCTCAAGATGAACGGGCCACCCAGTGGCTGCTGTCAACTTTACAAGTTTATTCTCTATTGCGTTTGGACTTCTTTTTCAGAAAAATAGCTTCCGTCGTTCACCCAGAAGCGCCGGAACTGTCCTACTTTTCCGGCGGCACCGCCGAGGCGCTACGCTCGGCTGACGAGAAAAACGAAATTACTGTCGATAACGTAAGTTTCGGCCGAACCATTGCAACGAGGGTTTCTACAATTTTTATTCTGCACTGTTAGCGGGGGGAGGGGGGATTTTTTGCAGCGGTGACGACTGTTTGTTTGTCTACCTATTCCACCTGTTGATGATATATAACGAATTTTTTATATCGTTTTTAGCGGTTTTTGGTTGCTAATAAAAAGCTTTAAAACATACTTTGACAAATTTTAAAACCTCATTTGACAAATTTTGCAGTTCGAAAATTTTCCGATTTTTGGGTCTTTTTCCGGGCCTTTTTGACCAAAAAGCCAAAAATTTCGAAACTTTTCATTATTATTGTATTGTTTTTATATAGAACTATGATATAAAAATATCAAGTAAGAATAAAGATAAAATTTGTTATAAAATAAAAAGAAAAAACTAGAGGATAGCGCTTTTTGTCTGCGCTTAGCAATTGATTGACAAACTGGCTGCAAAAAATTCTGCGTACCATTTGCCGCTCGAACATAAGAGAAAATTTAGGAAGAAGACGAAAGTGGAAAGCGGCAAGGGGAGCGATTTCGGCTGATGCAGACTTGGGGCATCTCGGCTGTCGAAAAAGTTGGACAAATGCTGGACTGGGTAGCTGAACGCCAAAATTTGAACGACTCTCAATTTTATAGAAAGCAGTACTGCTACGCCTGATCGAAATGCCGGACGAATGGTGGTACGAACGAAAAGCGATCAATTTCGACAGAGCGCCTTGGAAGATCTATCGGACCGCCTTCCAGGAAGCAGCAGGGCCGCTGAAGTTACGCGCACCTTTTATTTCTGATGAAAAAGTCTGCAGCCGGATGAAGGTACATTGTGTATTTGAATAATTCGAGAATTAGGAAAGGAGGTACTGGTTCATTGGGGGTGGGGGGAGGCGTCTGTCAAGAGGGGGGAGTTTCACGTCGTAAATTTTTGAATATTCTAATATTTTCTGGGATTCATGGGAAATTCGTTGCGGCCGCATCTGGCTATTTGCCAGGAAACAACGCAGGAGCCCCTGTAAAGATGGGAGTTACGCAAAAACTGATATTTAAACATCACTTTTATCTTGCATTCTCTAACGTTGGATGTATGTTACACAGAAATCTGCTAGCTCGGTAAAAATACTTCCCTTGTGAGCACGAAAACAGTGAGGACACAGAGAACCGCAACAAAAAAGTTTGCGCCTGCTTTTGGTGTACACTGTCTCAGAAGCAATGCTAGTGTTAATAAGTCGATCAGATTCATACCTGTAGATTTAGGGATCTGGCGTCAGCGATGCGGTCACTAAGCGTCAAGGCGATCAAGCTTGATGGCTTAGAGGGACTAGTCGCCGACAGGACACGTTCCGAGGCTCCATCCGAGAAGCAGCTGCGTACGCTGGCTGGACGCAGACATCAAGCATGGGCGGATCCAACGACACATCGCGCTACTAGGTATACTAAATTTAGAAAAGCTGTGGGTCCGTACCCATCAGTAGTACCTTGCCTCCTATCAGTAGCCAATTAAGAAATTATGATTCGTTTGCCACCGAGGATTTTGCAAAAACAATTTCACTTTTTTGGATAAACGATCAAGTAGCCAATCAAGCAATCAACCTCAGTAGCCAATCAAGCGATTTTCTGCGCCTTTGCTATCGCGGGTTTTTCCAAAAACAACGCACTGCAAAACGGATTTCCTCAGGTACAGCTTCAATTCCCTGGCTATTCGGCCCTGTTGATCTGGTCGTTTTCACGCTATGCTGCCAACGCTGCGTTGCATGCCCGCAGGCGCGTCAAGTCAATAGACAATCCATAGGCAATAAAACCCACACAAATCACTCGCCCATTGCCTTAAACCGTACCAGCCGATGCCAAAATACCTAACAGTATCCGATCCTTCAGCCTCTTTCATTCAAACCCTGTTTCAGGCAACTGCTTTGGCAACCATCCAGTCAACCGCGTCAACCCAGGATTCACCAACGAACTTTTCACAAAGCATACGATGGTCCAGAAGCAAGAAACTGTATTCGTAACGTAACGTATCCTATTTCCTGTGTCTTGATGTCCACGAATAAATTTGCGTACTCTCCACGTGTAGTCAATTTTAATAGTTGGTTTTGTAGATGAATTCAGTCGTGCCTTACCTAGAATCGATGGTTCGCCTTGCCTCTGTTTCTCTGAGTGCATACGAAGATTCGTCCCTCACCCCCCCCTGAGAATGCACAAGCTCCTGTTTTGCAAATATGCGTACTCTCCACGTGTAGTCAATTTTAATTGTTGGTTTTTTAGATGAATTCAGTCGTGGCTTACCTAGAATCGATGGTTCGCCTTGCCTCTCTTTCTCTGAGTGCATACGAAGATTCGTCCCTCACCCCCTGATAATGCACAAGCTCCTGTTTTGCAAATATGCGTACTCTCCACGTGTAGTCAATTTTAATAGTTGGTTTTTTAGATGAATTCAGTCGTGGCTTACCTAGAATCGATGGTTCGCCTTGCCTCTCTTTCTCTGAGTGCATACGAAGATTCGTCCCTCACCCCCCTGATAATGCACAAGCTCCTGTTTTGCAAATATGCGTACTCTCCACGTGTAGTCAATTTTAATAGTTGGTTTTTTAGATGAATTCAGTCGTGGCTTACCTAGAATCGATGGTTCGCCTTGCCTCTCTTTTTCTCAGCGCATACGAAGATTCGTCCCTCACCCGCCCCCTGATAATGCCCAAGCTCCTGTTTTGCAAATATGCGTACTCTCCACGTGTAGTCAATTTTAATTGTTGGTTTTTAGATGAATTCAGTCGTGGCTTACCTAGAATCGATGGTTCGCCTTGCCTCTCTTTCTCTGAGTGCATACGAAGATTCGTCCCTCACCCCCCTGATAATGCACAAGCTCCTGTTTTGCAAATATGCGTACTCTCCACGTGTAGTCAATTTTAATAGTTGGTTTTTTAGATGAATTCAGTCGTCACTTACCTAGAATCGATGGTTCGCCGTGCCTCTCTTTCTCTGAGTGCATACGAAGATTCGTCCCTCACCCCCGATAATGCACAAGCTCCTGTTTTGCAAATATGCGTACTCTCCACGTGTAGTCAATTTTAATAGTTGGTTTTTTAGATGAATTCAGTCGTGGCTTACCTAGAATCGATGGTTCGCCTTGCCTCTCTTCCTCTAGAGTGCATACGAAGATTCGTCCCTCACCCCACCCCTGATAATGCACAAGCTCCTGTTTTGCAAATATGCGTACTCTCCACGTGTAGTCAATTTTAATAGTTGGTTTTGTAGATGAATTCAGTCGTGCCTTACCTAGAATCGATGGTTCGCCTTGCCTCTCTTTTTCTGGTGCATACGAAGATTCGTCCCTCACCCCCCCCGGATAATGGACAAGCTCCTGTTTTGCGAATATGCGTACTCTCCACGTGTAGTCAATTTTAATGTTGGTTTTTGAGATGAATTCAGTCGTGCCTTACCTAGAATCGATGGTTCGCCTTGCCTCTCTTTTTCTGAGTGCATACGAAGATTCGTCCCTCACCCCCCCCCCGGATAATGCACAAGCTCCTGTTTTGCAAATATGCGTACTCTCCACGTGTAGTCAATTTTAATAGTTGGTTTTGTAGATGAATTCAGTCGTGCCTTACCTAGAATCGATGGTTCGCCTTGCCTCTCTTTCTCTCAGTGCATACGAAGATTCGTCCCTCACCCCCCCCCCGGATAATGCACAAGCTCCTGTTTTGCAAATATGCGTACTCTCCACGTGTAGTCAATTTTAATTGTTGGTTTTTTAGATGAATTCAGTCGTGCCTTACCTAGAATCGATGGTTCGCCTTGCCTCTGTTTCTCTGAGTGCATACGAAGATTCGTCCCTCACCCCCCGGATAATGCACAAGCTCCTGTTTTGCAAATATGCGTACTCTCCACGTGTAGTCAATTTTAATAGTTGGTTTTTTAGATGAATTCAGTCGTGCCTTACCTAGAATCGATGGTTCGCCTTGCCTCTCTTTCTCTGAGTGCATACGAAGATTCGTCCCTCACCCCCCGATAATGCACAAGCTCCTGTTTTGCGAATATGCGTACTCTCCACGTGTAGTCAATTTTAATTGTTGGTTTTTTAGATGAATTCAGTCGTGCCTTACCTAGAATCGATGGTTCGCCTTGCCTCTCTTTCTCTGAGTGCATACGAAGATTCGTCCCTCACCCCCCCCGGATAATGCACAAGCTCCTGTTTTGCAAATATGCATACTCGCGACGTGTAGTCAATTTTAATTGTTGGTTTTTGAGATGAATTCAGTCGTGCCTTACCTAGAATCGATGGTTCGCCTTGCCTCTCTTTCTCTGAGTGCATACGAAGATTCGTCCCTCACCCCCTTGATAATGCACAAGCTCCTGTTTTGGCAAATATGCGTACTCTCCACGTGTAGTCAATTTTAATAGTTGGTTTTTTTAGATGAATTCAGTCGTGCCTTACCTAGAATCGATGGTTCGCCTTGCCTCTCTTTCTCTGAGTGCATACGAAGATTCGTCCCTCACCCCCCGGATAATGCACAAGCTCCTGTTTTGCGAATATGCTACTCTCCACGTGTAGTCAATTTTAATAGTTGGTTTTTTAGATGAATTCAGTCGTGCCTTACCTAGAATCGATGGTTCGCCTTGCCTCTCTTTCTCTCAGTGCATACGAAGATTCGTCCCTCCCCCCCCCCGGATAATGCACAAGCTCCTGTTTTGCAAATATGCGTACTCTCCACGTGTAGTCAATTTTAATAGTTGGTTTTTTAGATGAATTCAGTCGTGCCTTACCTAGAATCGATGGTTCGCCTTGCCTCTCTTTCTCTGAGTGCATACGAAGATTCGTCCCTCACCCCCGGATAATGGACAAGCTCCTGTTTTGCGAATATGCGTACTCTCCACGTGTAGTCAATTTTAATAGTTGGTTTTTTAGATGAATTCAGTCGTGCCTTACCTAGAATCGATGGTTCGCCTTGCCTCTCTTTTCTCAGTGCATACGAAGATTCGTCCCTCACCCCCCCGGATAATGGACAAGCTCCTGTTTTGCGAATATGCGTACTCTCCACGTGTAGTCAATTTTAATTGTTGGTTTTTTAGATGAATTCAGTCGTGCCTTACCTAGAATCGATGGTTCGCCTTGCCCCTTTTTCTGGGTGCATACGAAGATTCGTCCCTCACCCCCCCTGAGAATGGACAAGCTCCTGTTTTGCGAATATGCGTACTCTCCACGTGTAGTCAATTTTAATTGTTGGTTTTTTAGATGAATTCAGTCGTGCCTTACCTAGAATCGATGGTTCGCCTTGCCTCTCTTTCTCTGAGTGCATACGAAGATTCGTCCCTCACCCCCCGGATAATGCACAAGCTCCTGTTTTGCAAATATGCGTACTCCCACGTGTAGTCAATTTTAATAGTTGGTTTTGTAGATGAATTCAGTCGTGCCTTACCTAGAATCGATGGTTCGCCTTGCTTCTCTTTCTCTGAGTGCATACGAAGATTCGTCCCTCACCCCCCGATAATGGACAAGCTCCTGTTTTGCAAATATGCGTACTCTCCACGTGTAGTCAATTTTAATTGTTGGTTTTTTAGATGAATTCAGTCGTGCCTTACCTAGAATCGATGGTTCGCCTTGTCTCTGTTTCTCTGAGTGCATACGAAGATTCGTCCCTCACCCCCCTGAGAATGCACAAGCTCCTG